TACAATTTACTGAAATCGACACATACCACAGATTCTGTGTGTACAAAAATAATTATGTAATTAATGTTTTTGCAATTTTCTTTTAATTATTTTTGTATGCCATATCACATAGTTAAACAAATGTTAAAACTTTAGTGTATTGTAGGACTTGAATGATGGTTCACTGGTTAAGAGCACTGGCTGTTCTTGCAGAAGACTCGGGTGCGATTCCCAGCACCCACATGGAGACTAACAACTGTCCATAACTCCAGTTCCAGGGGATTTGACGCCCTTTGTTGACCTCTGGGCACTGCAGGACATGGGTGCACTTACACACATGCGGACATAACACTCATACACATAAAATAAAAACAAGACAAAAAAACTTTAGTATATTTTATTTAAAATGTTTCATATATTTAATATTCTATTTCTTGGACATAGAGATATAGAAATAATCTAGATAGACAAGTTATCTTTCCTCACAGATCTTTAGGTTAAACCAAGACTTTTTTTATCAAGTGACTTAGACAGCAACTCAGGGAGGTGGCCACTTTCCAGCATCACCACTGTGCAATATGCTTTACTGTCATGTGGACAGTTTTATACTGGATAGTCCCTTCACTATCCACAACAAAATACATGAATTTAAAATAATAAATTTCCTAACAAATGCATGAAAGTAGTAAATTAAGTTAATGGGAAATGTTATTTTTCTACCCCACTATAGTTCTTCCAGATCTCAGTGTCTACTATAGCTGGGTGTGGTGGCACACGCCTTTAATCCCAGCACTTGGGAGGCAGACACAGGTGGATCTCTGTGAGTTCAAGGCCAGCCTGGTCTACATAGCGAGTTCCAGGCCAGCTGGAGCTACAGGGAGAACTTGTCTCAAAAAAAAAAAAATCTCAAAGTGTTTACTAAACCAGCTATAAGCCTGGATGCTGCCTTGGAGCAGTAGGAGAGGGAGCAGTTAACCATTGGTCCCTGGGGCTGGAGAGATGGCTCAGCAGTTAAGAGCACAAATTGTGCTTGCAGAGAACCCAAGTTTGAATCCCAGAACCCACATGGCAGCTAACAACTATCTGTAACTCCAGTTTAAGAGGATCCTACACCCTCTTCTGACCTCTACAAGTGTTGCATGACACAGGTGTACTTATATACATTCAAGAATTGCATTCAGACACATAAAATAAAAATGATAAATAAAATAGTTTTTAAAAAATCATTGGAACTCTACACAAACAGAGAGATAGGAGAAAAAAAGAAAAAAAGAAAAGAACTAAGAAAAATGGTAAATTAAAATAAAGACCAAGAATATTCCGAGGACAGACTAGGCAATGTCAAACCAGTGGGCTACAAGAACTAAAGATGTCCACTGCTCCTTGCTGAGTTCAAGGCCAGCCTGGTCTACATAGAGAGTTATGGGATATTTATCATTATGTGTGGGATATTTATGGTTATGCAGTGGGGGTGTATATGAGCAAGTTATGAAATTAGGCACAGCATAGACTTTTAAGATGTATCTATGGAAAGAGAGGGATAGGGAGAAAGATGAGCAAAATAAGGTCTAGGGTTTGCTTTTATTTTTAAAACAGAGGACTCGAGAATGTACAATGCTAGGGGAAGGGGTGACAGGAAAGGAAGATGTTTAAGATTCAAAGGAAACATTTCAAATGACAAAAGAATGCACAAAGTGAAGCATTAAAAAAAGTCAGCACATCTTTTCCAATGACATGGGGGTGGGAAGGCAAGATAAAGATGAGTTCAAGGCAGTGTGAGAGACATTGGTAAATCTCATCTTTTAGTCTGAATGAGAAGACGGGATGATATGTTGGGAAATAATAAGAGAGGGATATGAGGCCATGTAGAAAGAAAAGAATGACACCGGCTTTCTGCTGGAGCACTTTGGTGAACAGTGCTACTGAAGACTGAAACATCTTGAGTTGGAGGTGCTTGTAAGAAATTCAGGTGCATCAGCCCACAGGACAAGCATATCTAAGCTCAGGAAAGACACCTAGTAATTAGGGAAATGTAAATTAAAACCACTTTAAGATTTCATCTTACCCCAGTCAGACTGGCTAAGATCAAAAGAACAAATGATACCAAATGTTGGAGAGGATGTGGGGAAAGGGGAACACTCATCCACTGCTGGTGAAGCTGCAAACTTGTTCAACCCCTATGGAAAGCAGTGTGGAGAACTCTTAAAAAATTACAAATGAACCTACCATTGAG